TTAATCAAGCATAAGCAGAAAGAGGTGTAAATAATCGGCTGCATACAGACAAGGAATTTTCTTTGTTGTTTAAAAAAAAATATAAAGAAAGGCATATACAAAATTCCGAATAAGTATCGGTAAGTATCGGCGATACAAAATACTGAAATATGCGAAATATACGAAATATACGAAATATACGAAATATACGAAATATACGAAATATACGAAATATACGAAACTGATTGCAGAACATCTACATACGTAAAGTAACATTACGCGAGGAAAAACAGGTTTACACTCAGTTTTATTTATGAATCACGATTAATGAAGACCGTGTAAAAGAATATTTTCGGAAAGAAGATCGTTGGCGTTTGTGAAATACGAAAATTCCGAATTGAACACGTAATCACCATTATAATTATAATTGATTTCTGGTGATGAATCTTCTACCACTACGGATTGGAACGGGATTGTTGGTGTAGCCATGACTGAACTACTAGGAGAAGAATCTGGAGAAGGAGTAAATTCTTCAGGTATTGACCAAATCCAATTAGTTGACTCTACAGTCGGTGAAGTGTAGACCAGATTTTCCGGAACAAATTCTTGGTAGTTTAGATTGTTCATCATAATAGATGGAACAATATTATCCTTTGTAACTTTGATCTTTTCTGTCAAAGATTTTTTAAATTTGTTATTTTGTTTATTATGCTTACGTACAGAAGTTTTAAAATCTTTCCAAATAACGCGAGTTTTGGATAAATCTTTCTTTCGACTTTTGATTAATTCCTTTTCCACATCTTGAGCAATTTTTTTATATGCTAATTTCACATGTTCATCTTCCGAATTCCAATGAACACTAACCAATTTTGATACATCGGTCATTCTAAGATTACATTTTGAATGACGAACAAGATGGTCTAAGAAAGCTTTTCTATAAATTAAAAAAGCATTTGGACTTCTTAAGGTACCACCTCGTGATGACCGTTTAGAATTTGTCAAGAAATCAGAAGCATTGATGATTGGAGGAAATGGAAGTTTAAAAATTGGTAACGAGTCATGATAAAGAGATAAAGAATCTAGTTGAGGACCGGTAACAGTTTCAAAAGTTGTGTCATTGCTTTGATGAACAGGGACGATTATATCACAATAGATAAAAGACATTATATAAATTATATAAGACAGGAAATAAGTAAAATATTAAAATATTCGGGAAATATTCGGGCACAAGAGGTGTGCTGAAGAAACATGAGAAAATTTTAAAGAATTTATAGGAAAAAAAGAGGGAGGGACGGCAATGCATAATTCGAAGAATAGCCGATACATGCTTGCAAATGAAAAACTCATCATGAATCAAGCGATAATGAAGTACTGTACGTACGTGAATTTTTAACACGGATAAAAAAGAAAATAGTAATGCAACCCAAATTGGAAAGTATAAATTAAGAACCAATATTCGAATCCCAAAAAAGTGAACAAGAGCCATGAATAAAGTAAAGCATAAAAAACGCACATTGTATGCATTGACATCGAACCGAATTACATTAAAAGAATAAACATTGGGAGGTTATTAGTGGTATGTAGGTACTACGTACATATGGATCTAATTGTGAACTATAAAAAAGTAAGAAGTGTAATTAGTTTCTCATCGGCTTTTTAAACAATTACAAAATAACGTACAGGAAAAATAATTGTAATGATGTGATAAGAAATAATTATTTTTATTTTATTTTATTTTTTACATTTGTTAGATAAATCAGAACGGTTAACGTTAACTCATACGTATTTCAGCATGATACAAATTTTGAATAAGTTTTATAAGTTTTTATTGGGTATTGTATACCATAAAGAACCACACATTTGTGCTAAATTTGGTTGTAAACCTATAATATATCGATATCAGATATAGCATAGGAAAATTTCTACCAATAGTATTATAGAAATATAACGACTAAATTTATCACTTTCCCAATTACCGTTGTACGTAATAAAGTTACTGAATTTAGATCTTGGCAAATATTAAGCAAAGGCGATGAAAAAAATAAATTTATTTACATGTACTACGCCATTAATAACGGTAATAACGGTTATAAATTTTAGGTAGCTGTCCCACAAAAATTTTTCCACCCCTTGTAATAATGACCAATCGAATTTCAAGATCAGGTGTAACGTGATAGTCAAAACAAACATGTTTTGTTTTCTAAGTAAAAAGTTACGTGCAAAATTAAAGTTAATAAAATCGCGTTA